CTGATGGACAGTGCCTGGCCCTGGCTTTGGCCTGGGGAGGCTTCATTACCTGGGTGGTGACTGCAGTGAGCCGGGTGGCCTGGACCTTCTGCTTGTTGCTGGTGGGGAGTATGGCCAGGATTTGGATTTTTCTAATGAATGAAGCCAACAGCTTGTGTTTTCATGTGAAATCTCCTGATTTAAAAATACTCATTGAAATAAATCCAAACATGAGACAGTATCATACAGCCTAAACAGACCAAGCCTTCAGTCTGGGTCTGGCAGGGCCCCTGGAACTGCCAGATTCCCCTTTGAATGATAGGTGCTCTCCTGTGCAGTGCAGTTGGCCCTCACTGCTCCGCCACTTCAGTCTCAACCTTCCCCTCACTTGTTCTCTGCTCCATCTGTTGTCCCCTGCTCCATCCCTGCCCCAGAGCCTGAGGAGTGTCTCTGGGTGCTAGTGCTCATCCCCTCGCAGTCAGGCAGCCTACCTGTTACAGGGCTCTTGGCTGTGCTTGGCCAAAGGTGATTCTCTTACTGTGTTTAGAGACACGTAGAGTATACATACCTCTATATGCATGTAGTCACATCAGGATTTTAAAAGCATGTTCCAGGACACATGTATTTATATGCTATATAGATGTCCAACTTTACTCAAGATACATAATTTCAGCACATAGGAAACTCCTTACTCAATTTTAGTGGCTGCCTCTAAGTGGTGGACCCACCAAATTTTGTTAAAAGTTCCCTATGGGTGGATATTACCATTGTTTGCAATTTTTGTTATTATAAATATTGTTCCAGTGACCATCTTTAGACAATTGCATGTTTCCATGAAGAGATCCCCAGAAGTGGGACCCCTTAATATAAGTATGTGTCAGCATTGCAATAGGTAATGGCTGATGCCTTTCAGGTATTGCTGGCTTTGCTTCCCCCATGTGTGTGGGGCCCTCTCTCAAATGGCACCAGTCTTTGTGACCTTTGTTGACAGCATGTCTTTCTCACTCTATATCACACTTCCTTAGTGATGAGGTGAGTGTTTTTCATTTGCATTTGTATTTCCTGCATAATTGCTGGTTTATACCCTCTTCTCTTTTTGGGGTTTGGGGAAGTCACCCATGTTTATGTCAGAATTCTTGCTGTATGAAGGATGGGTAACTTTTTGTCACACATGCTCCAAGTATTTTTTATCAGTCTTTTTGACTTTTATTGTAATTTTTTTTAGTAAAATCTGTTACTATTATTTTTTTATTTTTATTTTATTTTATTTTATTTTTGCTATCATTAATCTACAATTACAGGAAGAACACTATGTTTACCAGGCTCCCCCACTCACCAAGTACCCCACCCCCACCCCACTACAGTCACTGTCCATCAGTGTAGCAAGTTGGTGTATAATCACCACCTGTCTTTGTGTTGTACAGCCCTTCCCGTACCCCGCAACAACACTATACACGCTAATTGTAATGCCCCCTTTCTTTTTCCCTGCCCTTATCCCTCCCTTCCCACCCATCATCCCCAGTCCCTTTCCC